GGGAAAGAGCAGGCAGAGGGTCCTAAATAAGTGAAAGCTGGGGACCCTATTTTCAAAACTCAAGAAATTCCCCAAAGACTCGTGACCCAGAGTTCTCCACCTTGTGCTGCTCGTAGTAGAGCTGAGGGAGCTACAACCACCTCCACAAAGGCAAAGCAGCAGAGAAGGCCACACCCCAGGAAGGCATCCCAGCATGGCCATCAGCGTGCGTGTGAGCACCTCCAAACTGAGAGCCAGTGCCCAAGGCCATGTGGACAGTCGAGGACAATTCATTGCCCTGGTCACACCTGCTCAGTGCCAGCTCAGTGATGCGCACCTACCAGGCACTGCAGAAGACTTACTGACTGTCTACCAGTCTGAGTTATCAATCTGCTAGGCTCAGGGGGCGGGGGCAGGGGCAGGGGCGGGGGGCATGGAAGACATGTGACTCTTTGCTCTAAAGCCCCATCCTAACAAAAGAAGCTTGACTCACAAATGGAGAAACCAAACAACAGAGCCAGAGACACCCAGGGTCAGGCGTGCTCCTTAAAGGGACCTGGAAGGCTGACCTCCCTCAGTAAACAAGACGAGGGGGGACACCTGGATTTGGGGAGCACTCCATGGAGCAGAAAGGGCGTGAGAGGCCATAAGTCACGGGTGGACTGAGCAGAACGGAGTGGCGGGGAGAGGTTTTTGGGGTGAGGCAAATGTTACCAGCCCGTCATAAACAGGGGAGACCAGGCATCTCTGGGGAACCCTATGACAAATGTCCTCTGGCTAAAGCCGAGGGACAGGGCAGGAGCAGTGGGCCAGGATGCTCGAGTGGGAGTCGGGGCCAAGGAAAGGCCTTCGTCCCAAGTGAAAACCGTAAACCCTGCTGGGAAAGTCAGAGGGAGGGCAGGATGGGCAGCAGGAGGGGACCCACGCGGCCTATTAGGACTGGTCTGCTTGACAGCGGTAAGTCAGCAGCCAGACCCACAGGACCGGCGGAGGCTTTTCAGGCAAACCAGTGAGCAACACCTCTGCCTCCAGGCCCCTGGCAGCGTGAGGTCAGGGCCAGGGTCCGACTCGGCCACCGAGGCCAATGGAAGTGCAACTGCTGAGACTCGCAGGAGGGACACGTCCAGTACCCCTGCCCCAGGCCCGAGCCCCCGGGCAGCACACTCCTGGGCCTTACCTCCGATTTTTGCATTGTACGCGATGCCCACGATGCAGTAAGAGTTGTTGGCTGAAGCGGCGACCTCTCCCGCACAGCGAGTACCATGTCTGAGGCAAAGGAAAAAACGAAGTTAGGACTCCGCCAGCACCTTGCAGTGGGTTCAGTGCCCTGCTCAGCTCTCCTGCAAGAAGAGTCATTATCCCTAAGCCCAGGGAGGATGCTGAAGCCTTCTCCCCACATCTGTTCCCATCGCCCCCCGCCCTCTGATGGCTGCTCCGGGAGGGGCATCAAGTGGGCTTTTGCACGGGCCTGGACCGTCCCGTTCCCCACCCCCGCCCTGCGCCCCGTAGGCTGGCAAGGCCTTCCCGCTGCCCTGCAGACACGATGCTCCCGCATCAGGCTGAGTCTCCTGCTCCGGCGCCAGGGGCCCAAGCATCCCTCCTCCCAAGCTCTGCGTCCCCGTGACTGACAACACAGTGTAGACGCCTGCCTGGCTGCCGAGCTGAAGTAAGAACAAATGAGAACCTAGATTCTGTGTCCTCTTGTGTCCCCCTCCTCCCACCCCATGCTCACCTCGGGCAGCCCCCCCCACCCTTTCCACCGCCATTCCAGCAGGAGCTGAGGAAGAAGGCTCCAAATGGAACACTCAGCAGCAGTGGACAGACTAGGAAGAGGCCACCTGAAAAACAGATCGCTCCCCTCGGGTAATGACCCCGTCTGCAACATGCTGCATCGGGTCAGTTCCTCCAGCAGAAGCCAAAAAAATACCGGCAAGTTTAAGGAGCACATCTTTGAGAATAGTCCACAGGGGATCAGAATCACTGAGTCAACTTTAAAACCACCCTTGAAACTAGTCCAGGGCTCATGCATTAGCCCTGGGGAGGCAGCCCTCTGTCCTCTGGACCTCGTGCGCCCACAGCCAGGGCTGCTCCCAAGTCACGCAGCCCACCGTCCTACTCAGCATTCAATCCTGCCCTTCATGGATCACTGTGCAGTGTCTGGACTATCCCTCCTGGCTCCCTGCACTCAGGGCTGGGAGACCAGGTGCCCTGCACCACTGGCGTGCTGGCGGCTGAGTGGGAAGGGCACCTGGGGACGTGAGGCTGGGGCCTTTGCAGGCTCCCTGGAGCGCTGTGGTCCGTCGTGCTGACCGCGTCTGCCGGCTGAGTCTCCCTGCACAGCACCCTGTGGGCACCAGGATTTGAACCCCAGAATCAAATCAACCACAACCTAAAATATTATGGATGAAGACACACCTTGGCAAGCGTCATGTCAACAGTGGAGAAGAAAGGGACTTCCCTGGTGGCGCAGTGGTTAAGAATCCACCTTCCAATGCAGGGGACATGGGTTCGATCCCTGATCAGGGAACTAAGATCCCACACGCATGCAACAACTAAGAGTTCACATGCCACAACTGAGGAGCCCACCAGCCACAACTAAGGAGCACACATGCCGCAACTAAAGGAACTGGTGAGCCGCAGCTAAGACCCAGCACAACTAAAACAAATAAAATTAAATTAAAAACAAAACAAAACAAAACCAAAAAAACAGTGGAGAAGAAAGAAACGGCTTCTGTTCTCTAAATATTTTTGGAAGAATGGGAAGAGCTTGGGGCATGGGGCATGCTGACGGAGAAACGACAGGCAGGACACAGCAAACGAGCTCCAGGGCTGGGCTGGGGAAAGTGGACATCATCCCCAGGGCTGCCACCGACGGAGCCGAGTCACCTGATCTCTCCAGACCTCCCGCCATCATTTGCAAAGTGACGATCACAAGCGTCACTGACTGAACACCCTCCGTGTGTGTCCCTCACCCATCACCTGACTCCCACCCACAGCCCTGGGGCATGGGGAGCCTCAGGCCACGAGACATCACCCAGCCTGCACAGAGGCACACAGCCAGGCCCAGGATCTGGGCCCCGATTTACCCAGCATCATTCACTCTTCTGCCACCTCCCTCGTGAGGTCACAGACAGACTCAAAAAGGCTCAGATATTGACCCATGCACTGTGGTCCGAACACAGCCGGCTGTGGAGACCGCAAGATTTAAGGGTTACTCTTTTCAAATCCAACAGTGTTTCGAACAGGAACGATGCTGGTCCAACATCCATTGCTAGCTGACCAGCAGGGGTGACGCCCCTTAGGAAAGGGCCGAATCCACCGAGGCTGCCTTGTGCCTGAAGGGCTGCGTGGGGCTGGCTCCTGGCTCAGCCCCAGACCCAGCCAGGCAGCCGGAGAGGTGCCTCTGACCCGTCACAGTTCCAGGATCCCGACTGTGGGCCAGCTCAACAGTGACTGCAGGGTGATGGAAAGGGAAGCAAGGAGGGGCCGGCCAAGTGATCAAGTGACATACTTGTTCTCATTGCTGGCATCATATCGCGGAGACGGGTCGTAATCGTTTCCGTTGACGTCATAGCTCGCATAGGAATCCTAAGAAATGAAACCCTCATGACCGAAGAGAAATGGCCTGGCATATCACAGCCCTGCTTTAAATTGTTTTTATGCCTCAATTGGAAACAGAGAAAAATGCACGCTTGGTACTCCCTTACTGTAACTTTATATATATATATATATATGTATATATATTATGGTGGGAAATACACATAACAAAATTTACCACCCTAACCATTTTTAAGTGCACAGTTCAATGGCTTTAAGTACATTCACACTGCTGGGCAGCCATCACCACCATCCATCCACAGAACGCTTTTCATCTTGCCAAACTTACAACTCTGTCCCCATGAAACACTAACTCCCCATCCCCCTCCCCAGCCCCTGGCACCCAACATCTACTTTCTGTCTCTATGAATTCGACTCCTCTAGGGACCTCACGTAAGTGAACGCATACAGTGTTTGTCCTTTTGTGACCTAGATAATGTCTTTATCGATGTGCCTGATCCATGTGGTAGCATGCATCAGGTAAAGGTTCATCCACGTGGTAGCAAGTGTCAGAATTTCCTTCACCTTATGTTTTTAATATGTATGTTTTTGTGTATATACTTATAATCATAGTATTTGTGTAATATCCTAACGTCCTTTTAAAACACATTATAAAAGCTCTCCAGATTGTTGACTTCAAAACTGTCATCTTTTGCAAACTAGTATATATAGGATGGATAAGCAACAAGGTCCTACTGTAGAGCCCAGGGAACTATATTCAATATCCTGTGATAAACCATAATGGAAAAGAACATGAAAAAAAAAAATATATGCATAACTGAATCACTTTGCCGTACAGCAGAAATTAAGACAACACTGTACCCCAGGTGCCTCAGAATACTAAACACCTTTCTCACATTTACTATGTGCTGGGCTCTCTTCTTTACATTTATGAAGCCATTTAACCCTCACAATTACCCGAGGAGGTAGTAGTCCTGTTACTAACCCCATTTTACAGATGGTGACACTGAGGCACAGAGAAGTCAAGTAACTTGCCCGGGGTCTCAGAGTTAATAAGCCGCAGAGCCAGGACAGGAGCCCCAGCAGTTTGGGTCCTAAGCCCACGTCTTAACCCTGCCATTTCGTATGTCGCTGATGTTGATCTGATGGCGACCTCCACATGCACACGTCTCTGAGTTTCTTAGGACCCGTTCCCAGAAGTACATGTGAATCCTCTAACGTGTGAACGAATCCCTCTGCGAACCCCTGGCTCCAGGTAGCAGGGGAGCTGGGTTCACCAGCCCACCCAGCTCAGTTTTCTGTACTGTCTGATATAGGGAGGGGTAGGCACCTTATCGTTTTATAAATGTGTCCTTGTTTAATGACCCACGCAGTTGAATGTCTCTGCATGCCAGTTGCCAGTTTTAAGGCTTGACTTACATAGTTTGGGGCCAGGTCGGGGTGATTCCGCTCTATGCCATCATCCAGGATGGTGACCACCACGTTTTTTCCCGTGTAGCCCCGCTTCCACGCTGCCTGGACATTCATTTCCGATCGGCAGCGACTGTTCTTGTCGCCACAATGCTGCAGGCACAGAAGACACAAAGCCCCCCAGCACAGACACACCTGACACAGACCTGCAAACCCAGCAGAGGTGCTCTTATGCTCATAAGGGAATACGGAGAAAATGCTTTCCCGTGCCTGATAGAGCAGGTCCTGATAGAGCAGGACCACCCATTTCTGGGAACGGTCCACGTGGAGGGTCTACTGATTTTTCTGCCCCGGCAATCTGTCCATCACTTTCCCAGGACACCCACCGCCCTTCAGGGGCTCTGTTCACTACTCACCATGTAGTGACTCATACACCGTGCAGCCAATTGCTCCCCTGCTCAAAAAGCCCCTCCCCTTGGACTTTCACATAATTAAAAAAACTTCACAAGAAAGCTTGCACCTCACAGCATTACAACAGGAGTTTTACACTCAGATGAAGTGTGTCTGTTTGGAGCTGTCATGAGAATTTAGCTTTGTTGGGGGAAATTGACCCATCTCAGAAACACGGCACTGCAAACGCTCCAGGGACAGAGAGGCCCACACCCTACTCACCATGTACCACATGTTGGACCAAATGGGGTCGTTGAAATAAAGGGCCTGAGGGTCACTTCGCACCTGTCTCTTCACCCTGCGTTTAACTTCTTGTTGTTGGAGCCATTTCACCTACCAGGGGAGAAACACAGTTACTTTTTGTTTTAAAAACGATCTCCTGGTTTCACGTGGCCTCCTCGTAGGTGCTCCAGCTGTCCTTTTCCATGAACATCTGTGTCTATTAGATGTCTTGGATGGTAAATTCCAAGGAGATGTTTTCACTTCAAGTGATCATATTTGAAAGATAAGAACTAGTCTGGGTCTGTAGGGGAGGGAACAGGACCACTCTCATAGAGTTTGAAATGATTCTACTAAAAAAAAAAAAGACCTTGTGAAGTTGCCAATAGATTCTCTGGTGACCCTTGTCCCTAATTAAAAGGAAATACATGCAAGGGTATGAAAAGAGTGAAGAGAGGGGAGAAACCGGTCAAATGGTGATCAGGAGTTGGAAGTAAAATGTTTTACAGGGAGGATACGGTTAATTATGATAATCCATATATTGGCATTTTTAGCAGCTTCTGCAAACATGGTACCAAAACATGTACAGAAAACCTAAAAAGGGATACAGCAAACTATTAATAACAGCAATTCCTTGATGGTGACACTATTATTCATTTAAAATTTTTAAATTATTTTAAGGGTTTTATAAACTTCTTTCAATCGGCAGGACCTGCCTTCACAACCAAGGAAAAAAGCTTGAGAGGCAGGATAAATATTATTTAAGAGCAGGAATCCAGGAGCCTGGCTGACTGGATTCAAAAGCCAGCCCCACACTCACCAGCTGTGTGACTCAGTCGGTTAGCCTCCCTGGCCTCACCTGGATGATGGGCATCATTGTGGCTTGTCATGAGGGAGCACTGGCATATAAACTGGCATATAAAGCATGCACATCACTGCTTGGCACACGGCTGTATTATCCTCACGTGTGTATGTGTGTGTGTAAGAGTTTTTCAAGGTGGAAGAGTTTTTTCACTTTTATTTATTTATCTATTTATTTTAAAATTTATTTATTTATTTATTGGCTGTGTTGGGTCTTCGTTGCTGCGCTCGGGCTTTCTCTAGTTGCGGCGAGCGGGGGCTACTCTTCGTTGTGGTGTGTGGGCTTCTCATTGCAGTGGTTTCCCTTGTTGTGGAGCACGGGCTCTAGGCGTGCGGGCTTCAGTAGTTGTGGCGCATGGACTCAGTAGTTGTGGCTCGCGGGCTCTAGAGCGCAGGCTCAGTAGCTGTGGTGCACGGGCTTAGTTGCTCCACGGCATGTGGGGTCTTCCCAGACCAGGGCTCGAACCCATGTCCCCTGCGTTGGCAGGCAGATTCTTAACCACTGTGCCACCAGGGAAGTCTGAGTTTTTTCACTTTTAAAAGATGTGGGACCTGAATCCCTGTGCCCTGAACCGAAACATTTTCTTGGTCCTGCTGCTATGGGCCCCCTGATTCAGTACACCTCCCGCTGGGGCTCAGCTCTGCACGGGGGGCTGAGATGGGCAGGATGGGGGCACCAGGCCCTGCTCTCAGAAGTCTGTGAACCAGTCAGGGGCTCCCAGCACACAGCACAGGGTGTGATGCAAGCTCCAAGAAGGCAACAGGTGGCCCAGGGCAGAGAAGGTGAAGGGGAGGAGGAGGATGGAGCCTCCGCGAGGGTGATGATGGGGGACCCTGGCTGACCTGGAGGCCAGGCCAAGGCCGGTGACCCCAGGGGAATGAAGGCACAAGGTCCGAGGGTCAAGCTGCTCCCCTCAGACCGCTCGGCCTCGACCCCCCGACCTGGTCCTGAGGGAGGAGAGGACAGCCTCATTCACATTTAAGGGTGACGACTGATCTCAAGGCGTTGCTGGTCACCAGGACAAAATGCTTAGAAAGAAACATCACAGCCTGTCCCCCCACCAATGTGGCTTGTCTACAAAACACCAGTGGATCAGCTTCCTGAGAAATGCCGCAAAGAGCTCAAAAGCAATTTGGATTAGGCACTAAAACAAGCCCAGGCGCAAGTCCTGGATCATTTATAGTTGCCACTGGTAGATACTTCCATGGAAAATAAAACTGTACAGTGAGATATTTTGCTCATAACACCCTCTGATGGCATTTTGCAACTTCCTCATATATTACTGCCTGAACCAGAAAGCTTTTACTCAGTATCAAAAACTTAAGACTGTATTTCCTAACCTGCTAGGCAACCTGTTGTAAAGTACAGTGGTAGGCAAGCCACTGACAGCTCCAAGCTCCCGGGATGCTCCCGTCCACCTTGCCTGGCTGACTCACTACCCATCTTACCGGCACCAGCGCCTTCCAACTGTGGTGCCCACCAGGCTTTACTTCCTGTCCCAGAGGAGGTGGACCCTCCTCTTCCAAGCCTGAGTAGGTGACTCCCCCGAATCAGGCAGGTGACATGGGGAAGCATGTTGCCGGAAGTCACAAAACAATCCCCTAGTGGGATAAAAGAGTGAGGGCACCTGGCCTCCAATCGTTCCTGGGCTCTGGGTAAGAACCCAACTTAACACACAGTTCTGAGGGTCGGCTGTGATGGCCCAGGGCCCGCAGCAGAGCTGGAGGCTCTCCTTGTGGCGTGGTCCCGGGGCAGCCCTCTCCCCTGAGACAGGTCATTGTAAGACTCTCAGAGACAGCCAGGCACTGTAGGCCAATGGAACTGGATATAACAAATTACTCGCCAGGTCTGTGGAGATGGATTCACAGGTGACCTCCCAGTCACAGAGGCTGACTCAGCCAGCGGTCACTTGGTCAGAGCCTGCTCCCCGTCTCCTTTCTCCAGGCTCCAGCCACTGCCTTGCTTCTCACCCAACTCCAGGAAAGGGCGGGGGCTCCTGGATCCCACCATCCTGGCATTTTCCAGATTTGCCGATTTCTCTGGAGAGCACGGCCCCCGTGGTCCCTTATTCGCTCACCAAAGCTGCACTGAGTCTCACTGTGTGTCCGGCGCTAGGTTCTAGGAACATGAGTATGAGTGTAAATACCACTGGTTCCCATCCAGGACCAAGGCCCCTGTCCCACCCTCCAGCTCAGACCCAGAGCTCTGCTTCAGGGGCCCCTCAGGTTGGAACCCAGAGCCAGCTGGCCTCTCCAGGAAGGTCAGGGGTGCCGATGACCAAGTGCCTGAAATCCAAGTGCCTGAAACTTTAGCTTTCCCAAAGAGTACCCTCATCATGAACAGTGATGCTCTTTATGACAAAGGAACACATAGTTCAGGATCCCTAAGGACATGTCACTCATGGAATTCATTCTTCTGCAGAGCTCGCAAACAGACGGTGAGCTGGAACTGACCAATCACAAGTACTGAAATTGAAACTGTGATTTAAAAACTTCCAACTAACAAAAGCCCAGGACCAGATGGCTTCACAGGCAAATTCTATCACTTAGAGAAGAGTTAACACCTATCCTTCTGAAGCTTTTCCAAAAAACTGCAGAGGAAGGAATACAAGTGGTGAGCTGGTGGTGATGGGGAGAGTCAGGCTGGGAGGGGGCCAGACTGTGATGTTCTTCCTGTGATTATCTCGCAACCTGAGATGCTCAGAAGAATTGGCAGTACTCTTCCTCCCCTAAGAGGGCTAGTGCAAAAGGAAAGTCGTCATATTTTGCTGGCAGTCTGCCCGGCTGTCACTTTACACTGTAGCTTCGTTCGTGCTGTGCTCATCAGATCCCTCAGCACTCCTAGAGGAGGTTTTCAGACCTTCCCTTGGTGAAAAAGGCAGGGGACAGACAGTGGTACACACTGTCTGCCTTTCAAGGCCATAGGAATATACTTGGAAGGTAAGTCCTAAACCCAGGTAAGCCTGCAAATGAGTGGGCCTGGGGCACATTAAAATACACATTGTGACTAAGCGTGCGTGGTAAGAGCTGAGCTCTTACGGTGGGTCCCCAGCCTTCTTAGGAAGAGAACCAATCACTCTGCAAAGCCTTCAGATCACTGGAGTGCAGGAAGGGGAAATATCGCTGAGAAGAAAGGCCCTGCTCATTCCACATCACTCTCTTTAGGTTTTGTAGAGAGTTGACTGGTGGCCTCCCAAAAGGTACATTCACCCAGAACCAGTGAATGTGGCCTCCCTTGGGAAAAGGGTCTTTGCACATGTAATTAAGTTAAAGTTCTGGCGATGTGGTCATGCTGTGCCCTAAATCCAATGACAAGTGTCCTTACAAGTGAGTGATGGTTAAACAGCCTTGTTAGATCATGTCTCAGGGAGACGCTCGAGCCCTCCTGAGGGTACCACCTGGGGTGGGGAGGAGATGCCGGGTTGCTATGGAAATCCGTGAGCCAGGGCAGTAGAAGAGGCAGAGGAGAAGGAAGACGAACCAAAAATCTAACAGCTGATCTAACTCAGCCTAGAAGACCTCCCCCTCCTCCTCCCACATCACAGAGGCAAGCAGGGACCCAGGCCTGTCCCCCCTTCCTCAACAGGCCACTTCTCGAATTCGTTCCATCCAAGCTGAACTACACGGGCCAAAAGGTGACCACTTACAGCTGGTGAGAGCCGGCACCACTCCTCCTGCTAATACTGGGAAACATGAATGGACTTCGGGAAATCAGGGCTCTGACGGGAAGCACCCCATCCCCGAGAATCACCTGCCTCCACTCACACAGGACGGACAGGCGGCCGAAGGAGCCCTGCTCTCCACGGTCACCAGCCAGACGCTGGTCAGCACACTGCCCAGCTGGCCCCATGTCCGTCGTGCTGCAGCCTGATGAATTCAAGCCCTCTTCAGGGCTTTTGTCACAGTTTAACCAAGGCCACAAGATACTTCTCAAGTCCTTTAGGTAAAAAGAAGTTGATGAGCAAATGGTAACAGATACAACTTGCTACGTGAACCTACTCCCTGAAAACTGAGATCTGTTTCAATAAACACTGACTAAGGGTCCATCTGCTATTTACTGGGTAGCCTGCTGGACCTGGAGTGAAAGCAAGTGAGGGCGGCCCTGGCCCTGGAGAACGTGACACCCCCCGGCACAAGGAGGGCTGTGTGCGTCTCACCCCGAGCTCCCTCCGCCCCCCATCCCCCTGCCTCTCACGGTTTCTGCCCGGCCTCGCGCTCCAGGCCTCCTGGAACCACCTGCAGCTCCCACCAGC